ATTAGGCAGCATTAAAAAAACCCAAATAACTAATTTTAATATCTACATTAGGATCACACTTAAGTGTTTGCTGAAGTTATTCATTTTGGCAGATGTTCAGAAGCATCCTATTTTCTTCAGGGTTGGAACTCCATATGTCTGTGAATACCCAAACAAACCCAAATGGTTTTGCATCTTTCTGCTCCTTCCTGGACTGTACTCAGGTAAAGACTGTGCTCTACTTAACGCCTCTTTAAATACTGCAAACAACGTAGCTGAAGATATAAAGGAAAAAAATGGACATGGGAAGTCAGACAAGCATGTCATAAACAATACCTTCAAGAAGAGGGGAAAATGAAACAATTCAAAAATCAATCCAGCGCTGCAAAAGCATTACCATTTCAATTAACATTATCATAATGAGACAGCTTAAATAACTCTTCTGATATGTTAACTGGTCCCAGAGTAGTACATCTCTTCCCACCAAATGTCTCCTATAGTAACAAAACCTTTTCAGAGAATTATGAACATTACTGGAAATATAGAATTACCACAAAATATATACCACACATTTGATAAACTCCAGATTTTCATACAAATCTAGTCCAAACCATGAATCAATACTTCACACATCCATGAAGTGATGTGACAATGAGGCATGTACGTTTTTGCTACTTTACCTGTTTTAACTCCACACTTTAGAGTGTCCCTATAATCAGCAAGGTCAGACAGCTCCAGGTTGAACCCTTTGAAGGCCTCCAGAAGCTGATGGAGGCAGTGAAAGTTCTGAACTTTATTTTCTCCATCACAGATTATTTTAAAGTAACTCAGGAGAATGTCTGCCACCTCGAGCAAGAACTGTTCTGCAAAGCCTTCAGCATTTTTAGCAGGTAACAATTCTAGGCAGCAATGAAGAGAATGTGCAAATCAGTGTTAAGCTTTATCAGCTCAGCCAGGCTGGTCAGAGACTGTCTTAGTGAGTATGAATATTCTGCTGAGTTTCTCCCTGTATATCCATTTCACAGGCAATCAAACAGGAATAGAGATATAAGAAAACGGTGAGAAAAGGGGAAAAAATGGTTAAGAGCATAGGGCCTTAGCATGTGAATGTTTTTACATTTGTAATTATGCTGTACTTCTTGCTTCTGGCATAAGAAGTGCCAAGAGTGCAAACCTGGCTCGTGGAAAACTAGTCATTTGGTTAGTGGCCCTCTGCCAGTGGGGAAGATGAGGAAGGGTGAGAAGGGAAGCCTTAGCTTGCTTCACAGCCATTCCCAAGACACAGCAGTGTACTACTTCTCAACTCCCCCTTCCAGCAGCAATGGCAGAACACACCTCACAGCAAGAAAAGGAGACTTTTTCCATAAATCTTCACACTGTTCCAGAGAGGTGGCTGACACAGTGACTGCTGTACTTTCATGGGAGTGGACAACACAGAAGGTGAACATCCTTTCTTCCTCAGCGTGATACTTTCTTCCTCCCCATGGTCCTGAAAATGCCATTTTTCATATTTGCGGGGGAATTTGGAAGACAGACACAGCTGGAGGATGGGAAAAGATTTCCATGGACTGTCCAGTTTCCCTCAATTTTCTGCACAACTGTTTTAGTAATCCACACCACCAGCAGTTTTCAACCTCTCTGAGACAGCAACCTCAAAAAATACTCTTCTCTCAGATTTCTCCTGATAAGAAGAAAGGAAAATTTATTTCTTCATAAGTTTTGAAGAGGAAGAAGATATAACAAGGATGACGAGACTGAGAGAACTGCTGAGAGCAATGATACACAGAAGCAGAGGTTGGAGAAAAGGGATCTTCACGCTAAGTGTCCTTCCCTTTCTCTTCTCTAACATGTGGTGGTCCCTAAGGACCCTGCCACAAAAGCTCCACAGCATGCTATTGAAGCCTATCAGGTCTTCCTGAGAGAAAAGGCCAAGAAGATGGGTGTGTTCTTGGTAACATTTAAGATACGGTAATCGCAAAGTATAAGGTTTTGGTTTGGGTATTTTTTTTGTTTGTTTTTTTTTTTTTAATTTAGTCTTACCCGATGCATAGATATTTGAAAAATAGTTCCCAAAGCTCTCGGTGCAAGTCTCTCTCTCATCACCCGCTTGCTGGAGACTGCAGATGTATATTTTACTTGCACCTCTAGGTTTAGAATTAATGTCTTCATCTGTAGAAATACCATCAGGATAGGGGAAAAGGTGGACAGAGAAGAATAAGGAAAAAAATAATATATTGTTAGGAACATAACAAGTTCCATACCTGTGAGATTAGCTCTCCTTCTGATCCAGCTGAAGATGGAATCTGTTATTTGTTTCAGTCTCGCATAGAACTGATGCTGAAAAAAAAGGTGGATTTGAAGAAGCACTCTGAAAATACTGCAACCAATCCCAAAAATCTCAGGGGAGGTTGCTGCAGCTGGGAATACAGAACAGCCCAAACCCCAAGGATTGTTGTTTCATGGTAGAGCAACTGGTTTACCTGTATGTTGTCCTGAATCTGATTCTTGCCTGAAAAGGAGAGGAGAGAAGGGGAGAGATTAAACACACCGATAGAACCTGTGGTTTGAGAAGTTGCAGGTTGCTGGAAGCTGGAGGATTATGCTGGGGTAAGTATCACTGCAGGGTTTTCCTGCATTGTGGTCATTACTAAGGGTAGACCACAGACAAGGGGCAGTCACAGGATATTGACACAGACAGACATTGGCTTGTGGGCCGTTCTTCTGTTCTCATTATTACTAACATTTATTTAAATAAGAACAGAGGCTGCACTGGGCTTTGGTTAACCTCCTGGTTAAACTAATGCTTAAAATTTACAGGGGAATAATTGACCAGCTATCCTGAAAATTAATAAAAGAATAGTTTTGGAAAAAGCTTTGATGTCCTAGGATTGACGCAGACAGGATAGATTTACCTGGGCTTTTATCAAATAATTGCATTTGATGGAAGTTTAGGTTCTATTTTCACAAGATAGGTAAGGAATATGGTTAACGTCACTTGGCTTTTAAGATAAATAAAGTAACAATCAAGTGTTACTTTTTCTCCTCTGTCACAATGGTACCACAGCCCTTACTGGACAGTTATATTTCCTTTGCTCTTAGCAACCAAGCACCTTCCTTCACCAGAACAACAAAACGTAAGCAAAAAAAGCAACTTGAGAACGCAGTTAGTGCTGGCCTACTGATAAATCTGATAGTCCTAGGAAAACCAGACATGCAGTGCCCAAAGTGGCTCCTGTAGCAGCTGCCAGAATTTCCTCATCTCCCCAGATGCAGTAAGAAGTAACACTTGGGAACTGTCTTATCTTCTAGTAGCAAACTCAGGTTAGTAAACTGCAATCCTTGCAGCCCATCCTGAAAACAATTCTGGCAGGATTGAAGTGGGCATGGCCCTAACAGGAGGCTGCCACAAAAGAGGATGGTTCTACCCCTGCCCTTCCCATGCCTTTCCCAAACCTTGGCTGAACATTTCCTGTGACAGCATCTGTGTCAACACTAGCATGTGGCCACACAACAAATCAGATCATTGGTGCAGCTAAAAAAGCCACTCTTTGGGGCTGGGGGAGGGACCCAAACAAAAAAAACACCCCAGAACAAAGAGGTTTCAGCAGCTGACTCAGCTCCCTGAACTATGAGACTGATGACTCGCAGGGCTGAGGAGAGGAGGAGGAAGGTAGGGCCATCCCTTCCAGCAGCAGCACAGACTTTGATCAGTTTTAGCCAAATGCAAAATTGCGCTTCCACTGCCTCAGGAAGAAACACAGGTATAATTTTCAAGATTAAATGCATTTTGCCTCAATTCCTTTTTTTTTTTTTTTTTTCTCCCCCTCAACAGGTAGCTTTGTTTCAACGAACTACTTAACACTAAGTAAAATAATATCTCAGTCCAGACTAATGAGGAACAATAAAAGGTTATCAACACACCTTCAACAGGATAAAACTATTTTCCTGTTGTGAATCAGAAAAGATTAGATTTCCTTTTGCTATAAATTACTCAATAACAAAAAATAAAAATAAAAAAAAAAATCAAACAAACCACCCCACTCAATAGACAGTTCACTGCATGAATCACCTTTCAGCAATTTTTCTCTCTGCAGCTTGCCCTGGTGGCAAAGCACAGAAGGTTTGGTTTGTTTGCTCCTGTTGTACAGCAAGCATAAAGTTTCCACACACAGGTTTCCTAGGCTGTATGCATAGCGATGAGTGTCACACCGATGTTTAGCTCTAGTAACTCTTGGCCTTTGTACAAAACATTAATGTTTTGATGTTAAAATATTTATCTATAATCTGTACTCCTGAAAAAAGTCTGCAGCAGAGAAGAGGGCACCAGTTTACACTATCTAATTCATCTTACTTAAATGACTGAATAAGGAAAGAGCCTAGAAGCATTGGATCTCTCAGAAGTCAACTCAAACCACCCAAGATTCTTAAAATGAGACAGCATCCATATACTTGAAAAGAAGGCGGAGTCATGAGAATAACAATTTTATGAATGCCCACTTTTCTGTTTCAAATTACTTCGGTGTGAGTACAATGACCTTGTGGGAGTTATTACTGAACTTGCTGAGGAGCCACTGATGTACCACTGTGGAACTTTTCCTTTAAATGATTAAGCAATTCTGTTAGGGCCTGTTTCTTACATTAATGTCCATCTGATTACATAATGGTGTTTAATGAAGTTGGGGCTTTTATTCAGAGAAATTAACAGTTAAAAAAAAAAAAAGAGGTTTAATGGTCTTGAGCACTGAAGATGAAAATCTTGAAAACAATAAAGATGCAGAACTTTAGGCAGAGATTGGGTGCATAACTGAAATTGTCCACAATAAGCATTGAAGTTTATCCTCCAAATAAAGATACAATCAGTGAACACAAGGGCAGTATTTGGCTTTTCAGAGTTTTGCTTCAAACAGCAACCTCGTAGATATGAGTGACTTTCAGAAATACATTTTGCCTAAGAAATTTATGACTTTTTTTTTTTCCCCATGGTGTGAGTGGTAGATTTTCTATCAGTTGGCTGGTTTGGGCTATGGTTCTTTTGGACAAGAGTAAGCAATATATTAAAAACATCAGTCACCTGAACTTGATCATCTACCTGCTTTTACTACTTTCATCTCTATATCATTTCACTGTATCAGAGAGAACAAACTCAGTCCAAAAGAGTTGTTTAGATTCTTTCTATTAACTTAATGGGATCGAACAGAGATCCATTTTTACTCTAGTGATACAGAGGATGCACAAACAATCCGTGTTACCTGCACACAGCTTAAGTTCTGCTCAAAAGTAACAATAAGCCTCAGTACTTTTCCTACTTGACTCCAAGTAGTACAAATGATGATAATAATTTTTTAGAGTCTTTAATATTAAGTAGATTCCACACAAATATTATTTAATGACATCTTTAAACTTACTTGTCTTATTAGCAACTACCTTGCAATCCACACCTGTGCTTCCCAGGACAACAGTGCAGAGCAGGAAACAGTAGGAGCCATGTGCACACAGTTTTGAAGAAGGCAAGAAGTTTATCTGTGTCTAAACAGGTATCCAACATATAGATTTTATATTCTTCTGCTCTAATGGGAACAACTCTGGGTTGTGGGTGGTAGCTAATTGGATGTCTGCAATCCGCTTTTGTCTTGCTTTTACTGTGGCCAGAGCCAGCCAGTTTTCACAGAGCTCTCACCTGTAGAAAGCTCCCCCCCGACTCTTCTCTCCCCAGCTGCCCCCACCTTGTTATGTTTAGGTAAAAGAAAGATGGTGCTTGCCATATGTGATATTAAACAAATATTTGAAAATGCATTGCCATCTGTGACTGAAACTTAAAAACGTTGAGTGCTTTCTCAACATGTTCAACAGGAGCTGAAGATGTTCAGGAATGTCCAGCCCTGCAAAGAAGAATATTTCCATGTTTATGAATGTCTCTGCTCAATTTCCTGTTCTGCCAGCACAGCTCCCCTGACCTCAAGCATGGCCACTTGGACAAAGACTCTTCACATGGCATCACGTCACTTTTACTTGTCTGATTCCCCAGAAAGTAATCCTCAGATATGACTTAGTTGCCAACTCCTTCTCTAATGAAGAAGAGAAGCTGCTTGCTTCAGGTAGCATACTGAAAATCCAAAATAAGACGTGGAGAAACAAATAAAGTAGCTGGAAATGGAGTGAGGCACTTCATATATCTCCCTTCATGTACAGGTGTCTCTAGGTAAGAGACTGGCCTTTTGTGGTGATACAACAACAAAAACTAAAAACTAAGTGAAAAGGTTATATAAGCACCAGAGATGACCCCTCTTAAAAGCCTTAAAATTCCTCCACTCCTTAGTGCTCTGATGAATCATCTACTTTTGTACAGTTCCTTTTGGCTAGTTTCATATGTAAGAGCAATACCTTTCTCAACCTGCTAGATTTTTAATATAGCCATGATATCAGTAGATCCATTATCAGGTAGGTATTAAGAGATCCATATTTACCACTAAACCACAGAAACAGTGTTAGGTACAAGGCATAACAATTTAGTAAAAGCACCTTTTGCAGCAATTACTTTTGGTTTTGAAAAAAGGACTTGCATCTTAGACATTAATGAGGCAAAGAATCAAACAGTAAGCTATCAAAAGAAACATATGCCACTTACTCTTGAGGGGTATGATTAGTATTTCACAAATTCAAGATAAGGACTATATTGACTCACTTAGTTCTGTTTCATTCCTTATTAATGGAAAGGAAAACAGAGGAAGCTTTGCACTTTTTTCCCCAGTCTCTTTCAGTGAGCCATATTTCTCACTGAAGAATGGAAAATGTCTGTTGTCATTTACATCTCACTGGTTTCTAGATACTTTATAGATGTTGTGTTTACTTTCCCATTGATTTGGTAAATGTTATTAACTTCTTACTTTTTTTTTTTTTATAACTCATTGCAGAGAGGATAGAAAAGTTTGCAGACTTCTGCTCTGGCTGTGCAACTTATAATGTATGCACAGACAAAATCATAGAAAATATTTACAAAAGAAACCTTTTAGGTCCTAAGTGTATCTGCACGCCAGTATCATAATGCTTGAGGTATGATTGCATTTTTGAATGGAAGATAGCAACAAACTGACCTTTATGTGCTGTTTCGATTTTCTTGCTCTCTTCTCCATAATAATGGAGAATTACAGATGACTAGAAAAGGTTTTTTAATCACTAAAAGTTTCAAAGGAAGCACATATGTTACTTTAAATCAAACTTTCCCTAAACCCCAAAATATTTATGTTTTGGTTTTGGGTTTTTTTTCTGAAGTATCTCACATGGTTTGCTTAAGCTCCCACTTCCCTCCATGTGCAGGCTGTCTAAAATCCAGCTCCCAAGATACCTTTCTCCTGCCTCATCTTTCCTTGTCTACAGAATGAGAAGTGCATTTATGAGCAGTAACTGTCCTACAGAGAACTTCAGGGAGATGAGAAAAGCAGAGTAGAATTTCAGAGAGGCACAACAATAGTCTGGATTTAAGAGATTTGGATTTTCAGCAGAAAAAAATCAAGTTCAAGATTAAAAAAAAAATAAAATCAAGGTTTTCTATGAAAATCAGCTTTCTACAGGAAAAGCCATACCACCTTATTGTGGATTAAACAGACCATGTGGACTAAAGCTCAGGGATGCCTTGGGCTGGCCAGCATTGCAGCAACACTTAAGACCCTTCAGAAAATTCCTGAATTAAGCCGCAAGGCTTGTTTCACCATAGTCCTAGTTACCTTTCTATCCGCAATTACAGAGCTCCATAAAGTTTCCCTTATGTTATCAAGAAAATCATGGGTTGACAAAAAGTAGTGTTTGGATCCAGATGCTTCTTGAGTGACAAGGATGCCAGGAGAGGCTGCTTTAAAATGACTTTTGCTGGGGTAGGTATTGGCTGATATGTCCCATTGTACGATTGGACTAATTTTCCAAACATAAGCTAATGAAACGCAACTGAAACCTCCTATTTTGCATTAATCAGTCGGCAAGTTGGCAACACACTTTTTCTGATTGTTTTACTGCAGTGAGAAAGAGGTCCTCTATCCATGCAAAAAATAAGCGAGGTGAACATCTTCAAATATGCATTAAATTATTTGTTTCAACTTCATGTTTGCTGTTGGCATCAATTGCCATGTACATACAAATGTCCCTACAGATGCTTTTTTTTTTTTGCATGATTTAGCAATTTTCCATTTTATTCCCAGAGCTTGCTTGGAAGGGAACTGTTTTAAGCAGGTTCAAGAACACGACTGTAGGAAAAAGAAAAAAAGAAACCAAAATGGTCCCTGTTGGATGTGCATGCATTTCCAAGCCCACATATTCTGCACATGCAGGCTTTGAAGTGTTTTTTTTTTTTTTTTTTTTTTTTTTTATATTTCACCCCTCAGCTACCTCTACGTAATCTCCATTAATTTTAGAAGGAAATAGGTATACAAATTGTAAGATGAAATGTTTGTCTTTAATGACTGTCTAAAATTTAAACCATTAAAATTTACTGAACTTTAACCACTGGCC